AAAGATATCTGCTATATTAAACGGTACGACAGCATCCCAACAGAAAGTAGTCATCTTAAAAAAAATAAAAAAATTCTGGGCCACCTCGAGTTGTTTACCGACGGTCAAACAACCTCAACGGCATGTTAACGCCATCTAGAACCTTAACGGCATGTTAACGTCCTCTAAAATTGGTGCCTGTAAAGAGAGTGACTGCGCACCTTGCAACAAACCACGGTGCAAAGTACATGTGCACATGCAAGCCACACAGGACGCCGCAAGTACGTCTTCTGACTTCCGTGTACAACGACTCGTGGCAGGTTTTACTGCTACACTTACAATGATGTGTACATGTCGGAATGCAGTGTCTGTTCAAAAACAAAACAATATATTGGTCAAATAGAAGGACTCCCTTCAGAACACGCTTCAAAAACCACAAATCACATGTGAATATTTTCCATGTACCGCTATCACGACACGTTAGCCTGCCAGACGACTTTTTTTGATCAAACGAAAGCAACCATTCTTGAATCTGGTTTCGGCTCATATAATTATCGCGAACTCCGGGAATCATACCTGATATTGAAGTTTAATTCTTTAGCAGATGTTATCAATGAGGATGCAGGCACATTGACGTGTCTTCTTTTCACGTAAGTCGTCGTGCTCAACGGAAACAAAAAGTGTACGCTAGCCTGCTTCTTTATCGCAGCCGAGTATCGTGATAGCGGAACTTTTTTTCTGCGAGTGCGCTCTGCTAAATTGTAGAAATGAAAAAGCAATTATTTTACATATTTTTCTTACCTTTCATCTTGAACGTGTAATTTTCACGAACCAACTATCAGTACTGTCTCTGTAGCGAAACGCTCATGTCAATCGTATTGTCGGATTGTATGCACGTATATCCTGTTAAGCCGCATGAGTTGCCAATGACTATACACAGAGTGACATCACACAGCACTGTGGTTTTTATCACTGAAGGACGTTTTTGTGCTGACGCATAAGAGCCTTGTTAATTATACTAGGACATGTGTTTGGGGGCCCTGGATCATTGGCATATACATAAGTGCGCGATTTTTTTTATGCTCTGTATATATTCCAGACGAAGCCCGGTCCCACGGCCGAAACGTCGGAGTAAACGATTCTATTCGTTGTGCGTCAAACACCTTCCTTCGTATACAGTATCAGAGCTTGCATGATGTTTCTCCGATTCATATTTTTCCTGTATAGAAGTTCCTAAACATGGTAACGATGCGCGCTAGCAAAAAAGAAATCAGCCGCAAGCTGTCGTACTACTTGCCGAACAACACTGGACAGTTACTGTTTTTAGCGGCATAGCAGAATCGAGATGCACATGCTCTGTACACTGAAAGACCTGTAACGTGTAAGTAACTTCCCCAACACTACTTCTCATACTTAGCGTTACCGTGTTTGCGTGGTCCACGTAGTGTACGTAAAACATGGCGGCGGTTTTGGACGCCCTCTGCGAATTGAATTTAGCGTTGGTGGGGATCTACAGACTTCTTTTGTAGCTATAACGACTGTGCGAAACAGCTTCGCTTGCCTTGAGAGCTTCGACGACCGAGTATTACGGACAACTTATTAGCCTAGTTTTTTTAGATAGCTTTCCATTCCGAACGTCCCTAGGCCTATTTAGAAGATCGGTGTAAACAAATCTGCAGCCTAAAAGTTCTAACTTTTGGTGCGTGGTTCATATTTATATACTTTTATTATTACTAAAAAAAGAAGCAATACTGTTGGGCGCGGGGATACAGGCAATAATTCTGTTTTTTTTTTCTTTCCACTCTCTTTAGTTTAGATAGGCGATGTCACCGACCCAGCTTGGGCACGTAAACGTTGTTCGCAACGAACATTTTCGTCACGGTAACGCTATTCCCTTAACCAACGCTATCACGCTATATAGCGGTAAACTAATGCGCGGAAGTCCCGCCTGCGTAGCCACCGATCCACTGTCAAGATAAGTTGACGTCGAGTTTAGTACACTCTAGCACTTCCAGAAGCCACGACAGGGGGTAGGCCGCGGTGCTGTAGCGCCATCTAGTTTTGATTGAAGAAACCAGATACGATAAAGCGCCTATACAGTAATTGCGAACGAAAAATAAGACGTAGGAACGTGATGAAAGATGCTGTTAATTTTGAGGGGAGCCACTATGAGACACGATTCATATTAATCAGAACAAAGAACTTATTATTCCAAAAAATTTAACGAGATTATCTTCAAGTTTTTGCGTCTTAGATAATCGTCTTTGATACTATTGCTAGGGGCTCTTAAGGCATCAACGTACAATAATCCGGAAACGACGTCCCAGTTAAATGGGACAGCCATTGTTAAACAGAGAAAGTGGATTTTATTTTCTGCCTTGCGAGACTGAAAAGGAAAAAAAAAATTGAATGTTCTGGTTACGAAAGTAAACGACATTTTTTTTTTAGCTCTCTGTACTGCACCGCGTGTTAGCAGGCGCAGGGGTCCGATTTTACTTCACTGCGGAAATCATGGACATTATAAAAGCAGCCTTCTACATCAGGTAACCAGGTTGTCGTAAGCGGGCTTTCCGTCCTTATTTAGGTTCCAGCGTTTGTTCTAAGCTTCCTGAAAAGCCCAAGTACGGAAGATAAGCGGGTGGGAAAGAAAAACTATACATGTAGTGGATAGAGAACCTATTGGCACAGGTATAAACACAATCTTCAGAAAGTCGAGTAAGCACATTAGGTTAATATTGTCATCAGTGACCCGTACGCGCAGCAGAGTTGGTATTCTATTAGTTTTTTTTTAATTAAACGTAGACACGCACACGCCTCATTTCCGCTCCAGTGCCACGGACCGTCGACAATTTATACGCAAAAGCGTAAAACGTCTAGATCTGTTCGCCCAGGCGCCACTCGTACTCCTTCACTCGGACGCACGACGATGTACCAAAAGCGTAATAACACGCGCCTGATTTCCTATAGACCTGTTTCGATTGATATGCCAGTCGTCGACGCTCTTCCTGCCCGCTTGTTTGGCGGCGTGCCACGTCTCCGTATACTCTTCAATCGGCTACGTCCGCTGGTCATGGCGTCGCGTGGCAGTTACACAGCGCTGTCTATCGAGGTCAAATTATAGGTTACTCCGAATGTTAGAAAGCTTAAGTGTAGATAGCTGGGCTCGTTGGTGTATATCTATGATAATAAGCAGTGCAAAAAAAAAAGAAAAGAACAAAACAGGACGGATACACAGGAAGGAAAGACGAGTACAAGCGTTGTACTCGTCTTTCTTGCGCTGGAAACATGCATGTGCAGCGTGATCACTGGCGACGCTCTTAGTGGACGGTTGCGAAAACTCTCGAATGCCGTCGAGCCAGTTTGAGAGTATACTGCTGCAATCGACTCGCTACTTCGGGAGTCCTTATACAAAAAGCAAGATCGTGTTCTTACAGATGTCCAAACATGGCTGCTCGGCAAGTTAGTGCTTCTTAAATTGTATAGTTATTTTTTTTCCAATATCGAGAACAAAGTTATTTTTAACAACCTATCGCGCAGTTGTGCCAAGCCGGGGTCACGCAAAAGCTTTATTCTTCACGTGGAAATGCACCAAACCACCCAGCCAGCCCAGAATCTCCTCCCAGTGGGAAGTCAAATCTTCACAGCACAGCCTTAAATGACCAGCGACAACCGATTGACCGTGTGAGCTGGATTGCAGCAGCAAAAGTGTTCCTGAGTCTCCGTCCTCTGCGAATTCGCAAACAAGTTTTCTGCTACTGCTACAACGGCAAATATTCTCCAATGTCACACTACCGGGTGCATATGCTCGGCTACTCTCTTCAAACGATGGTTCATGCAGCGAGGTAGCTCCTCATATCGCACCGACACCAATGTAATATTTGTACAAGACGGAGTGTTTCACAGGTTTGCTCCGTTTTTTATAATTGTTATTCCTTAAAACACCGGCAGAGAAACCTGGTTTCAGCACGCATCGAATGCAGGCGCGCCGCGAACGTCTGTATACGTGAACCGAGCGCACAATTAATAACTTTCATTGGGAGGCCAGTCATGAAACAGGGGCTCACAATATTTCTTTGTTACTGTACTTATAAAAAGGCGAGACGACAACGACATCACTCAAAACGACCGAACGAGGACGGGTTGCTTCTTGCTTGAGCTTTCTGTTTTCGTAGACTACACTATTGTAACGAGCAACACAGCGACAACAGTTCGGTCGGTATTCGGGTAAATTCTTCTAATGTGCTTACCCTTCGTCCTCGCACTAGACGAGCCCCAGTGCCGCTGTTTTTCGTCATCACAATTTACGCACGAAAGGCTTTGCGCAACGCTTGGGTCTTTGGTTTTCTTGACCACAATATTGCCACGTTCCATTTCTTAAGTTTTGTTATCGCCCCAATACACTACACAATTTTCAGCAGAAATCGCGCCTGCAGTTTTCGAGAAGCTTCAGGACTGTAGTAGATCATTTCGATAAGGTCACGCCCACTCTGCGAACTGTACAGATCATTCCGAAACCTACGTCACCGCCAGCGATAACGCTAGAACAATCGATGGCAAGAGTATTATTATTATATGTGGGGTTTAACGTCCCAAAACCACCATATGATTATGAGAGACGCCGTAGTGGAGGGCTCCGGAAATTTCGGCCACCTGGGGTTCTTTAACGTGCACCCAAATCTGAGCACACGGGCCTACAACATTTCCGCCTCCATCGGAAATGCAGGATGGCAAGAGTATAAATGCCGACGCACTTCGCCGCTTGTCAGTAGTTGATCGACGGCCGACACTCCATTCGCCGCTAACAGTCCAAGACTGCTACTGTAGTCCGACTTTCCGTTTACTGGGCACAGGTTCGCCCAAATAAACAATTTATTATTCGACTCGCAGTGAGCTCCATTCGTCCACGTCACGACCCAGTGACGTGGACGAAAGGCCTGACCATGTGTATTCATCGCAGCGCGTCAGCGCGTGTGCTTAGGCATTGTCGATGAAACAGACGATGTCTCGACGTCCGTGTGCAGGCGCGGCTTGGACGAGTCGGACGAGAAAGCAGATTCGGACGAGCCCGGCGAGGACGAGTCATCTCCGGAGTCGGACGACCAGTCGTCCACCATCTCGAGCAGCGAAGGGCTGATGCTCAACGAGACGCTCGGCATCAGCGTCTGCAACAACGCGCTCTTCCACGTGCCCCTACGCTGGACTTACAGCTGCGGCACGTCCCACGATCGTCGGGACCACCGGCACAACATCAGCTACGCCGTAGCGGCGTCGGACTTCTACTACGTCTTCTTCGCCAGCAACCCGCCACTTTACGTCACGCCGAACACAATCGTCGCTGACTTCTACCTCGACAGGTAAGAACAACTTAAAGAACAAAATGTTCTTGCATCACGCGCACATGGAAACTTGATCCGTGCGCACACGGGTTTGAATTTGGCGCCTATGCAGTTCGAGTGTGGGATATCTCCAACGTTACTGGATGGAGCCAGTTGGGAAACTGCATGGGCTCGCCACGGAAGCGGCGTGGCCGCTCACAGTCTCCCAAAACGCGGGGGCGCTGCGATCGCTTTGCGACCTGGTCATGTGACGAGCTTCGTGCGTCGTCTGCTCGTCGTCTGTTCCGCGCCCCGTCTCCGAAGGACGGCGCAGCGTTTTTGGAGCACTTCATATCTCAAGGAATCTTGTTAGCGGATGCATATTGAGAGCTTCCTGCTACAACCACTGCATAGATGAAGGTGGACACAGCTTGGAGCTCTGAACGAAGTCTGAGTGGTTCTTTTTGCCACGTGCTGATGGTGCTGACTGCATTCCGCAGGTGTTTCGATGTGATGAGCTTGTGCTTGCCTAATGAATAGGTGCCTCCGAGAGCATAAACTGAAATTTCCTGAAAATTTTTTTGAGATCGCATTGCTCGTGCAGTCCTTACATTGAGCGTTTTCTATAAAAGCATGCTCTTATTTGAAAGCGACAGTAAGCGTTCTAAATGAAACAGTCGCGAGTTCTGAAAACTTGCGCATGTTTTTATTGTATACAATGCCGCTGCATTTACGCTGCGGTGCGTTATCTGTGTGGCTTGTCAGGGAGAATAATACGATGATGTATATCTTACGAGACAACTCACTTTTTTTTTTTTGGTTCCCAGCACAGCAATCTTTTGCAGAAGAAACACGTAGTTACAAACAAATTTTAACAGAATGGTTCGTAACAGTCGGCTTGTATTTTTTAAATGCATACCGTTTGTAAGTAGATACAGTTTTTAAATTGTGCAAATTCAACTATTTTATTAAGTGTACTTAAGTAAAGTGTGGGATTGGGCTAGTTGGTAATCCATATAAAACTTCTAGGCGCGTAAAACTTCAGACAACTAACACAAGAGACGAGGACGAGCGCAGACTTTCAACTGATTTATTACTACTACGACACACATATATATGTTAGAAAGAAGATAAGATCACTTGCTTAAAAAAAAAAAAAAAAAAAAAAAAAAAAAAAAAAATCAAAAGGCGAAAAAAAGTTTTACGCGCCTAGAAGTTTTATTAAGTGTAAAGATTGTTTTTCCGATTGACAATTAAATGTATCGAATGTGCATGACTAGGAACACGGAATGCCAATCGAGTGGATATGAATTAAGGAGCTTGGAGAAGCTCCTTCATCTCTTCGTCACCTCTTCATGAAGGGAGGAATGCAATCGAATTAAAAAGAACAGCGTCATTTTAGTTTGACACTCGAATACCCAAATTTCGAACCAATGACATGCGTCGCCGGTAAGCTGGCTGTGTTCTACGTGGGACTCCTGCTAGGTTATTTAATGCTGTTCCGATGTTCCCGTGTCCTCATTACAGCCCTTAATTCACTGAGATCTGTGCATGTTGCTGTGCAATAACTGTAAGAAAAGCCACCAAACACATTTGTTCAAGTTCCTGTTTTTTTTTTTACTTGGCAACATTTCTATGTTAAATCACTGCGTAGTTTATTGGTGCGTAGTCTAGAGAAGTTTGGCTTTCTTTTTTGTAGAAGACACCCTGCCAGAAGCACTCAGCTTCTTACAAACATCTCTCGTAAAAAAGTGCATTCTCAAAACAACGTATGAGTGTACAATCTCCGATGTCAGGATGTCCTTATGAACTGAACAACCAACGCTTGGAACATCGCAGTCTTTGATGACATCCAGCGCATCCCAAAACATGTCGGCGCACAGATGGTTTTCTCCTAGCACGAGAGACAGTTTTTCTTCGACGCGTTTCAACATTGTGTAAAGTTCTGTAGAGGGATGCTTGAGGCTTCCGTTCCTGAATTCTCTTGCCAATGTCAGTAGTGAAGCGGGGAATTTAGTGTTTGTTGACTGGATGCTGCTTATGCAAGCAGCGCAGTTGACGTGCTTCAGAAAAGAATGTACAATGTAGCCGCAGAGGTAATATACGACGCACTCCTGTACTGCTGGCAAAGCATATCCGTGGTCCGGAAGCGGTGTCGGTCCCGAGTGGGATGCTGAACTTATTCCAGGCAAGCAAACCTCGGAAATCTTTGCGCTGATTGTCTCACGCAACTTTTCATACGTTGCCAGCTGCTGCTTCTTCCCTTGCTTCATCGTCTCTTGCACTGTGGCTAGTATTAAGGTTGGCTCCTCTTGGACATTGCCTGCAATCGAAGCCTTGACAGGTGTGTACAGGCTCAGCAACCTGTAGATATGGGAAAAGCTCAGGATCGTCGGATGGTCTTCGTCACCTCCAAAGCTCCTGGTGATTCCGAAGAACCTCTGTAATGGTAGTAATAAAGCCGTACGTCAGTTCACCGTATGTATCTCTTTCAGAAGTCAAAGTACGCATGGCGTATGGAATGCATAAAGAGGATTTATAGAGTGCAAGTCTCAGGCGGGAATTGCACATCTCACATAGAGATATGACGACTGTTTAAAACCACGCTATGCTTCCTCATAACCGTTTTGTTTATTTTCCATGCAATGAAGTAAGTGCGCAGTTTTATGGAATTATGCTAATCTCACCTCCAAGGGGTCTTGATTAAGCTTGCCTGTGAGCACGTAGCGTGCACCTTTAGCAAGGAGGTCATTTGTTAGTTCCAAGATAGATGACAAAGTCACCCTTAGAGACTCCATTGTTACTTGAGATGCGAACATGGCTGTTCCTTTCTCAACGTGGTTTCTCTCTGTCAAGTCCAAGATAATCATGAAATCTTGGATGATCTAGAAAAGGGAAAAGTTTATGTTAGACATTACTTTTTTGTGCAAGCTAGCTCTTACATGCAAACGTCGACGCCTATAAAAAAGGGACCTTTGAAGAAAGGCATAAAGTTATTTTTAACCTGATTTTTTAATGAAACATGTGTGCCACTGAATGAAAATGGAAGCTGGTAATACTTGAAATCACGCTTGCGGCGTGTCGCCTTCTCATCGACGTTTATTTCAGTTATCTGGAAGGAGAAGTTCTAAGTTCCAAGACATTTATTCGTCGTCTTTCTTTCAATAATACCTTCCTTCAATTACAAAATAAATGTCTACTTAAACTAGGCTTTTGTTGGTGTAAATGTTTGTCGGCGTTTTGTATTTTATTTATATGCCCAGTGCCTCAGTTCTTGATTAACATTACCTATTGCGAATGTTCTTCAAAAGTAGCACATTTTATCGCCCTTGCCTTAATTTCCTTGGATGTGCTCCTTATCCCAAAACGAGGAAGCTTGATGTTCAGGGCATCAAAAAGGTCATTTATGATGCGGGTAAACGCGGCTGTCCCCTCGCAGTCTTCCAGGCCATCTTGCTTGAGTCTCCGGTACACATCAAGGCCGATAGCCGTACTTCGGCTGAGCAGCTAGGGGACAGAAAACGTATAGGGGCATTTTATTAATCGCAAAAAGACTTAAGGAGAACACTTCACAGTACCAGTTAAGTTTGTGTTTCACATGTGAAGAATTTGCCTAAATAATCAGGTAAGCTATAAGTTCTTTCAAAAGCAGCTTTTCGTAATCTTACCTGTACTGCGAGCTTCACACTCATTTTTCTCATGTTGTCAGGGCAGACGTGTTCAGCGGTAAGCTTCGGAACAATGCGGAGTTGCTCTTTGCCGTCTACTTCTTGCAAAACTCGGTAGTGGTCATAGTTTATGCGATGTTCACCAATCTATGAGCAAGAAGAAGAGAGGGAAAAAAAAAGTCCGTCAGTCGTATGTAGTGCTGCGAAGAAAATGTATTTTGATTGGCACCGCGACACTATTTATTGCGATATTGTACTGTACGTGGTACTTACCATGCCATATTTGTGTCGAAGAAGATGGTTTCTAATGCATTTGACAATGTGGGGTACATCGCAAAGGAAGTAGAGGCTTTGATTTGGCTCGCATGGGTGCTGAACTTTGTGGTTTGCTGTGTGAAGCTTTCCTGATATGCCAAAGTTGGACCACATTGCTTTGTTCGTGCTGGCGCCATCACTGATTACTGCGACGACTATGGCGTTGTGTTTGCGTAGCTGCACGATTGCATCAAGAACTATTTTGGCGAGCACGTGTCCGGGGGCTGCGTTTTTTGTTGCAAAACTTGCAATCGGTTGAACCCATGAGTGGAATAGAGGCACAAACATTGCAACCAATGCATGATCAGCAGTAGCTGCTGAAACTTCACCGTCTCCGTAATTTACGAACCCATCAATCTTGTATGTTTGACGGTTGAAAGCTACGGCTTGGCGTACCTTCATTTCATCTATTACTAGTGTGCCGTAACACTGGACTCCTTTCATAGTCTTCATGAAAGCCCCTATGCTGGAAAGGGAGAGCTTATTAAAGCCAAACTCACAAGGCATTCCTCTTATTATTTGTCGGAGCCTAGTCGAAGTTGGAAGAGGGAGGATTTTCATTCTTGACATCAAGCGGTACACACGTGGGCTTGAAATCTTCAAGAGAAGGCAACTCAGCAGCCACCCACAGTCATACCGCACACCTCTTGAAGATTTCGCTTTCATCGACTGCAGTGCTGTCCGAAATGCAAGTTGCTGCAGTGGTGGAAGTTCAGCTAAAACCTCGCTCAACAGTGCATTGCTTGGATCTGATGACAACTTTTTTTTCAAGCTTAGCAGGTCCCTCTTGTATTTCTCCCGCAGCACTGTTGCTCTTATAGTCTTCTTTCTTAAATTTCTCAACAGCGCAGATGGCAAAGGCACGTACTTGCTCTTTCTTGAACGTCGTTTCTGCCTGCACTGCAAGTTCTTTTTTGCTTTCCTGCACTGAACGCATAAGGCTTTCGCCGACAGCACTGCACATCGCTTGCTTCTCCATGTTCTCCCAGACCTTTCAGCCGTCTTAGAAGTTGATATTAAAGGACATAAACGAGAATCAAAACCATTGCAGATACCCAGGCTCTCAATGAGATGAAGAAAGGGCGCTGCGTCTTTCAAGGTGGTAAAATTGAGCTTGTCACTGTTAATAAAGGTGTAAGACGATTCCGGCACAAGTTTCCCTTTAGCGCTGACAACAACGGTCGAGTTTTTGTTTATAACGACAGCTCTTTCAATAAAAACTACGCCACCAATTTCTTGAAGTTTGTAAAAAACAACACGCTCATCCGTGTGTTGCACACACCATGCTCCATACACGGGCAAGTCTTCTATGCCACCAAACCAATGTTCACCTGTGGAGCTTTCTTTCATGATGACTTCCATGCTTTCAGCATTTGAGGCAGCCCTGTTTTCGTGTTCAAGCATTTCAGTGCACGTCTCACTTTCACTCTGAAGAACTGGGGTAATGTCATCTTCGGCCACTAGCACGCTTGCTGCATTTGTGCCAACATTTTCTACACAAAGCTTCAAATCAAGCTCAGCGCAATTAGCAAAATGCCGCGGTACCGCACCTTTCTTCAGTTCCCAGCGTCCTCGCGGAATCGAGACTGTTTCGCCATTCACAACATGCTGGAAGGAGGTGCAAATGTCCGCTTCATCAAAGTGACGATCACATATGTATGATCTTTGAGTAACTTCGAAGTTTGCACGGCCTGCCGCATTGTTCCACTCCCTCAGCACATTGGGGTCTTTCGGTGGCTTGAAAAAGTGTCGCTGCACGAAGGGCACTTCATTTGACGTTGCCGATGAATATCCACTTCGACAGCCTGGCACAGCACACCTCGGCATGCCGACCGTTCTCCCGAAGGGAGCAAAATTCAACCGCGAACAATTGCTTGCTCAGAGTCACCGTCCGCTTCTCTCCAGAAAGCAGAACAGCGTAAACATTATCGTCTGCTCTGTCATGGTTGAAATTTAATGCATAAGGTCTGTTACGAAACAACGAGCCAGCCTTTTTTTTATATTTAGGTTACTTAACGTTACTTAATTTAGGTTACTTAACCATTATTACCAGCAGGGAAAAAATCGTCTGCAAGCGCAGGCCCTGCTAGCCGCGTCGCTGCTCCGTCTGCTCCGCGCGATGCCGGCTGCGCGGCGGAGAGGTCACGTGACGTGGTCGCAAAGCGATGCCAGCGACACCTGGAATGGGCGACGATTTGCGGCCGCCTCCTCGCGCGAGTTTTCCAACTGTCCTCATCCAGTAACGTTGGATATCTCTACTCGACAGAACACCGAGGGCGCATGCGAGGTATACCTACACGTGACGGTCTGCAACGTTATGCGTACATTTCTGCTCTCCTGGAATTATATCAATATTTTTTTTTTCTCCGAAGCAGAGAAGCATGCTAGCAGCGCTAATATACAGGCAGCGCACCATGCACTGCAACCAAGGCCGCCTTGTGTGACTGTTGCGAAAATATAATTACGGCAGAAACCATCTGAGCACGAGTGTCGACGTTAATGTATTTTCATAGAGGTAATGCAGTAACACACCCCTAAAGAGTCACCACGAATACGCGTCATGTATGAAGCATGCGAACGGTAACCTGGCTCCTCTTTCCTGCGTCTCACCAAACACGCTGCGCCATCTCACGGCGCTGTTAAAAAGTCAGCTCGTAGCCTCCGAGATTGGTGATGCCTTCCCGCGCCGGGTTTTGAGACAGCGCTAAGACGTCGGAAGCCTGCACTTCGGAAAGCTGTGCGGAGATGTTTCGATTCCGCTCATAACAGAAATAATAATTAGGGATAACTAAGCATTTTAACTGCGGCGTTCAGGGATACATCCATGGCGTAACACGAGTGAAATCCTTCAAGAGAGCTAATCGTTTTAACATTTCCCGCTCACACTCATGTCTCCCGACAGCGCAGGACCACAATGACAGAGCTGGCATAAATCCGCATGCGCAGCTCCAGTGACACCGCTTGGGGCCTGCACACGCGCTACCCGCACAGCCGCAACGCACGTGCCGAGACACACCTACCGCAACCCAGCGGGGGAGCAAATGCGCAAATCGGCGACGCTCTTTCACCCTCCGCATGGGTGCGGCAGGGGTCCCGGTACGTGCGTTGCGCCTGTGCGAAGCGCGCGTACAGGCACTTATTGAGTTGAGGTGAACACGGCCATGATAATCCTAGTAATGAAGTAGTGTCGCCGTCGGAGGAAGACGGCTTTATGGCTTGAGTACATTGCCTATTCCTCTCCATTATTGTGGCGTGTCGAGTATGCTGATGCTGCATATGGCAGGCAGCTTGAGATGCACAGGCATGCAACCATGCGGTCGTCCCAGTCAATGGAAGTCTGCGATGGTGTAGACAAAGTATTCATATCCAACTCAGGTTCACCAAGCTGTTCACAATTTGAACAGCAGCAGTAATGTATATGCATATCGGAACAGCCTAAGTTGAAGCTGTGTGATCAGCGCTGAAGACGCGTACGCTCAGTAGACACAATCTAACGAAACCTATACAGAAAATGAAGAATGAAGGTACGGGAGCGTTATCTGTAGGCGTTAGCTGTAGTATAGCAGTGTAGTGTAGCGGTGCCTACCAGCGGAAATGTTCCTCCTTCGTCCACGTTAATTACGTTCCTTTTGTAAGAATTACTTGAGTGCACGTATAATCCACAGTACCCTATGTCTTGCATAGCTTCATTGTCTGTAGCTTTTATTGGGTGTCGTTTAAGTAAGAAGTGAACCCTTGATCTATTGCATTTTTTTCATTCACACATTCAGTGAGCATACATCGCAATACTCTAGAATTAGCTTAACACCTAATTCCCCCCCCCCCCCTCAAAAAATATTCGATGAAACTGACTGGCCTCCCACGTAAGGCAATACTGTTAAAACTGCACCATGTGTGTTTTTTCGTCACTCACAATTTTCAGTGTTGCAAATGTAGTACGCTCAATAAATGTTTCAATTAGCGAACTTCATTCAATTGCGGAATTTGTGGAAGGCCCCCGATGTCGACTATATTCGTATATGCTTCTCGTCCTTATCGCCAGTAATTGTTGACATTTATCGCCGAAATGTGCCATAATGTATCAACGTGCGTATCACGCAGGACGGTGTTCGACGTATCCAGTGCGGAGACGTACTCGTGCGTGAACGCGACGAACTGCTCGCTGCCTCTGGGCTTTCTCTCCGACGAGTACGTCGTGGTGGACATGCACGGTGAGCCCAGAGGATCCACGCGCCTCAACTGGACCTCGGACGTGCTGACCTCGCGCTGCCTGCCGCGAAAGGGCGTCTACTTCATCTTCTACTTCGTTTTCGGACTATTCGTCATGATGGCCGCTTTCCAGGGCTGATGGCGTCGGGCTACGAAAGTGCGCGGCACTGCATGCAGTGCGCGGGCGCATAGGTGCGCGCTGTGACAGGTTGCGTCACGGTCGTCCTTCGAACACCTCACAACGCAGAAACACCAACGAATTGAACTGGACCGCGTGACTCTATAGATGACGACTTGTGCAGATGCAGAAAACTGTTGCGCTGAAGCTTATTGTCAGAGAGCTCTCGCGATCACACCTTTCGAACGTCTTTTGAAAGAACACATGACAGTTGTGAGTTACTCAAAATATTTTAGCGCTACATTTGACGAAAACAAAACAGAGGCATGCATGCCAAGACGGGCGCAGTAACGTATACCGACAATTAACACCGCAACGTATATATTTTGTTAAACGACAATAATTGTTTTGTTTTTTTCATGATGCCGCTCAACCAGCGTTATTCAGGCGATGCCGTTTTCAGCAGAGTAGCTTTGTTAGACCTCGACTAGGCGTCGTCCTGTAACGGGACAAAGCTCAGCTATGCAATTCAGTGCTGCAGACGTTCGTACGCCCGCATACAGGGCGATGACCCCGGCGAGACGAATATCGCATGGAGCATTTGCACAGAGTCTGGCCGTTGGCAATAGCTCCGAAGCATTTGAAGGCGTAATGGCAGTCACCGGGACGATGTCGCCGAATAATGGTCGCTCGACACATGAAATTACCGGTGGTCAAGCACCAACTGTATACGTACCTTCAGCTTCACCACATGGACGCCACATTTGCTGCACAAGAAACAACTCCGCTTTCTGCCAAAATGCAACACTACCGTGACCTTGCAATTAGTTCTAAAATATATAAGTCCAGAGTGCTTCACCACGACGTGCCTCAAAACATTGTCGTGGTTATGGCACACGAAAAAATCTATTATTGCTTTACAGATCACGCAGTCCTGCAGCAGGAGTCACGTGGTCCTGTCACATTGGATACAAAAGCGCTTCCAAACTGCGGCCAAATGGTACAAAACGTGAATGTCCAGTCATCTGCCCGTACATACGTGATGTCTCGGTCAAAATCGAACCGAACATATTTTTTAATTTTTTTCGCACTGTGGTGGACCTCCCGAGCGGTATGAGAAAGGACTTTCAGTAGGACAATCTCGTTCACGCGCATATAACCTGTGCAGCACTATGACCCGCGACAAAGCTGCAAAACTAGGGCTGCAGAAATTAACAACTCACTCATGTCATATGCGTGATCAGCCAAAGATAAATCGTGTGGTTTGCGCACTGGTCGTCAAAAGTACAACCACATGATGCACGTTCCACTGCAATGTTATTTCGTATCATGTAAGCGACTCTTGTCGGCGGACCTCAAGGGAATGAATGAATGAATGAATGAATGAATGAATGAATGAATGACCTGGCTAGCGATCTAAGGTGCACAATCACGCGCTCTCCTCAAGAGCGCAGTATACTCGCATACCCGCCACTGGTATACCTTCAAGACCAGGCTCAGATGTATAGCAAACAGACTGTCCACGACCAAACTATCTGGATGAGGCGCTGCTCCAGTTCAATATGGTGTACTACATAGAAGTGTGGCAGCTTGGGCTAGTTGGTCATCTATCGTCATGGTGTACTACAGTCCAGTGTCTCCCGTCGAAACGCGGGCATTCAATCTTGCTACATTGGCGGCATAATGCCGCGCAGTGCTCGGCATGGATCCGCTGTGCCACCCACACTGCTCTCGCATGCCGCTATCCTAACGCGATATCACGCACATTACGAGAACAGGACGGAACACGGCCGCTTAATGATTGCGCCCAGTGAAACGCCGGGGAATAAGTTTCTAGGTGACGGCAATCTCCCGCTGATACCAGAAAGGTCACCAGAAAAACACCCGCATGTTAATCAGAAGTGTAGAAGGATACTTTCGGAAACCTGCCTGTGCTTAAAGTGAAACATTAAGTTTGGAAAAATGACGTACTATTTGAGAACTCAGTAGCCATTAATTTCGCAATGATTACTAGAAGAGGGAATGGAGGTCAAGGTCTAATGGCCTGTCGAGATGCGTCGAAGGCGGCGTTACGTGCTGGAAAAACATTACGCGCGGTACCTTCAATGATTGGAGCTGTGTCAAACGTCTTGTTCCGACGGCGATTACACGCAATAAATAATTTTAAACTACTCATACATCACGCGTGTTTCTGTTTCCATTCTGAATATGTATATGACGGCAGGCAGTTTTTGTCCGACGGCTAATAATAAAAAAAAAACTGGGACCAAGGAGCATCGTACGTGGCAGCGATATTGGTGCGATATTGTCCGAGACTGCCTAGCTAATTATAACAATGAAAATGTGATTATGATTTACAGTGTACCTGACTGTTAGATATTAATAAAATAAATTTTCAAAATGCAGGAGCTCTTGCCTTATACAGAAAAGGGGGACAGGTGAAGCCATGTGTGCGTGTCTGACTTTCCTTTTTTTCTATTCTAGGTGGTAGCGATACGGCTCCCGTCGGGACGATGATAGCTATAGCGCGAAAACAAAACGACGACACAGAGACAAGAAGGACACGAAAGACACAAGATGGCGAGAGTACTGCGACCGAATCGAGTACACTGCAAATTGCCTGTGGTCACGTGAGCTCACTAGCCTTCGTGCGCAGCGCCCAACCAAGCCCCGGCAATCAGGTGTGGTGCACTCAAGCAGTTACGTCGTCCTCCCAGACTACGTCCACAACACCCTCGCCCTAAGTCCGAAGTTCACCGTCGACCGAGAGAGGTCCGCACCCGAGCTTCTTTCAATGGTGCGCTCTGTTGCTGGCCGCGCTTCACCAGAGGATTCGGACAGGTGCATCTCAGAAGGCGTCGACGTGCTCCTACGGGAACTAGCGCTCGTGTCTTTCGTGTCCTTCTTGTCTCTGTGTCGTCGTTTTGTTTTCGCGCTATAACTATCGATATGCCATATCAACTAGCTGTCACACCGGTCCCGTTAATTAGGGAGGCGATCGCCGGGCTGATTCCAAGGGCCGAAGTATTGGCCCCCCGAACCGCACCACGAAAGCGTGGACAATTTAGAAGTGGTCCTTTTTGGCGCGCCAGCGGACGCCGGCTGTGGCCCAAAGAACAAGTCAGAGCCGAGAGTTGATAAACAAAACAAATATTATATTCTCAAAATTGGCAGATCGAAAACAATACACAAGAATGCACACTCCACAATAGTTACATACAATACGTCACCAAACAAACAACGTACTACACAGTACAATCAACCACACTTGAAACAACGGACACAGACAACAATACGCACTACAATGCAGTCGCATGCATTGAACAACCAAGACACTTAAAGACTAAAGAGATAGAAAACCTATTCAGTCCAAAGTTCTTGGAACCAAAGTATAGATGATACTCTTCCGAGAATCACTCACTCAAAGTCCAGCGTTGTTGTCGTTCCGCAGCCCTCGAAGTTTCTCTTCCAGGAAACCTCCCGTCTTCAATAGGCCACTCTCCAAGCTTCAAATTTCTTCGCCGGAAACACGTCGGCTTTTCACGCGCAGCTGTTGCCACGCGTCTTCGCTCGGTAGCGGTAAACACACGCTCTTGCCTGAAGCTCGAGCCTTCACCCCTCAGGTGGAAATCCTCTTCACCTCCTGCTTCGTCCCTACGGACAAAACCTTCGCCAACTGCACGGCGGAATCCCTACGCACTCTGGCGCTAACTTCCGTCTTCTCCTGCTTTCTCATCTCCGCTGCTCGGTTAAATACCTTCCGCGCGACGTTCCAGAAGGTTCTCGTCATTTCGTCGGCGCGATACGCAGCGAAGGCTGGGGAGAGGCGCGAGACTGTACGAGGGCCGTCCCCGACCGATGACTCAACCCGGCCGAACACGCCCATTTCCTTCTAGAACTTTCCAGTGCTTGCCCGGCCGCCGCTGTGGGGTGAGGAGGTTCATCGGCGAAGCCACGCTTCCGAGGGGAGAGCGTCGCGCGCCCGGGGAGCCTTTAGATGTTTCTCTTTTTTTTTCCGTTGACCTCGCGGCGTCATTCCGGCACGTTATCGCAAGAATTTGGCGGCGCGCCCATTTTGAGCGCTCGTTCTTGTGACACTAGACCAAGCTGCCACACTCCCGTGGGGAATATGGGAGACCAGCGCACGACAAGTGGCGCGCTGAAAAAGAGCTCCTAGCCGTCAGTCTCGCCATAACTCAGCCGCTCGTGCAGACGACCGGCCGCAGCGTGCCGCTGCGAACGCTCGCACGTGCGCCGATCCCGGGCTAGATTCTGGCATACTTTATCTTGAGACTATACTTGCACAGGAAGGCTCTGGAAAACAGAGAAGCTCTGCAAAATGAATTACGTCAGCGAGAGTGGCTATAGGGTGTGCTTTAAGTGGCATGGCGACCACGGCAGCTCCAGCGCTGGTTCCTTATTCGTCGCAGGCGTGGCCTAAGGGCGCGCCTACGCAGTAGGCGTCGTCCCTAATGGGTCAAGTTTCGGCGCCGTCACTGGAACTTGGAATGGTGCGTTCATATCTAGCCTACAACTAAGTGTGGCAACGTGAAACGACAGGTGTTCCGATAAAATACAAGTAAGCAATCAATCAGAACACACACATACAAGAATAGAGACTCACTTCAGGCAACAGTCTCCTTAATCGTGTCGTCAATGTGTGTGTCGACATATTTTCAAAGTATGGCTAAAGATAGCCGAGGCAAACTATATATGGTATCTTGAATCAAGCCTTGCGTTTCCTATCGCCCTTGAAGTGCAGGGGGGGGGGGGGGGGGGTCGAATTGGTGGTCGTGACCTGGGTTGGCCGTGCCGCGCGCCACCTCTCGGACCCGGTCCTGCGAGCTGGAGCACACGCACATGCGGTGGCCTGGCGATGATAATCGCCGAAAGAAGAGCACAACCCACCACGAGGGATCGGTCACGAAACGTGCAGCAGTACCACCATAGAGAAAGATACTATATAAAGAGTGGCCACTCGAGTCTTTTCGCGGCCCAGCAAGAAAGGGTCTGACCAACCGTTAGATGGCGCAACCATG